CGGAGCGGGCGAGAGGGCGGGAGGCGGGCGCCCCCGTTCGGAGCAGGGTGGAGGAGGGGTGCTCTGCCGGGCGCAGGCGGGAGCCAGCGGGAAGGTGACCTGCGAGGTGTAGTCCGTCTGTAGGAAAGACCTCCTCTTCCTCAGGCTCCGCACGTGCTTCAGCGCCTTCTCCTTCCCCTTCCCGGGCGCCTCCCCGCCGGCCTGTCTGGCCGGGCAGCCCCTCGGCCGCCTCCGGACCCAGGGCCCCCCGCCAGCCTGCGGGAGAAGAGACGCCAGGGTGAGGGCAGGCTCGTGGGCAATGTGCGCATGCGTGTGTCTGTGCGTGCGTGTCGGTGCACGTGTCGGTGCGTGTGCATATGCCTGGCCATGCAGAGAGGGATGGGGGGCAGCTGGCAGCTTCGCTAAGGGGCAATGGGAACAGCCCCTCAGGCGGTGTTGGAACTAGAGTTCTGGGAAAGGGCAGGTTCATGTTAATTATAAAAGGAGTCGATTTTCTGAATTCTCTGAGCGCTCTAGTGAGCAGGAACAGGGCCTGTCCAGGCTGCGGGCGTGCACCGCACTTTGGTCTCGCACCAGCACACCACTTCCTCTCAGCACGTGCATTGTGTGAGTGCGACTGGCAGGCCTGTCTAACTCCCCCTTCTGCTTTTCACAGCGCTTGGCCGTGTGGCTGCCGTGTCACCTAGTGCCCCGCACGAAATTGGTTTTCTGCAACTTGCCCAGGGGGTTGAACCTGAAAACTCAGGTGGGCCTCATGGCGCCCGGCCCTCAGCCCCGTTCTGTGAAGCTGGGACGTTCCTTAGTGGGTGGCCGAGGGCCCCTGAAGGCAGAGCGGGCTTATGGCCTCGCCGGGCAGTGTCCCGGGAACGGCAGCCACCGCGAGGCCTGTTACGTGAGACTTCGGTCTGGGCTTTCCCGGCGGTTTCCAGAGTGTCTAAGGCTCATCCCTCGGGCTCCAGGGTCAGGCAGCCCTGGCAGGAATGGGGGCCTGTCTCCTTCCGGGCCCCACACGGCTTCCCCCCAGCCTGCTCCTGGCCACACCCCCTGGGGCCCCTGCCCTCCTGCAGTGCAGCCGCTGGCCGCAGCTCCCGCAACCCAGGGTCAGGCAGCCCTGGCAGGAATGGGGGCCTGTCTCCTTCCGGGCCCCACACGGCTTCCCCCCAGCCTGCTCCTGGCCACACCCCCTGGGGCCCCTGCCCTCCTGCAGTGCAGCCGCTGGCCGCAGCTCCCGCAACACGTGGGGGGACGCACCCAACGCACAGCGTGTCACGGACC